CTCCCGTCAGTTGATGTACTCAACTCGTGTACATATTTACTGATACTATCATCTGTTATGGGATCATTACTCAACCTGGGATAACTAAATTTCTGCTATTTAATCCCAAATCATAGATACAATAATACTTTGGCCCATATAACTGTAAGGAGTGCCCCAGGGTGTAACAGCAAACGATGAACGCTGTTAAGGTCGGTTGTAATCCGACACACGGCGAGGGAATTCGGGCCCAGGTTGCGGACTCGCACAGTTTAATCGTGCCAAATTAACGACATCGTCCAATACAGTCAGCTGGTATGCAGCTATGGGTCCCCAGGTGACTGTCGGGTATTCAGCTAACACACACACACTGTGCCTGAGATGATGATGGAGAAGCATCAGAGAAGTCAATAATAACTCAATCACAAACAATCTTTTGTCTAGCAACGACAGACAACATTTATGTTATATTAATGCTTTCGCTGGGTAAATGACAATTTCACTGTTACAACATGAACACTGATATTCACAAAATTTACCGAGTTAAACTGACTCAATATGGTGGGTGGAAAATCGTACACATACCTGAGATAATGATGGAGAAGCGTCAGAGAAGTGACGCTCTCCTCGCACACGAGCTTATATAAGGTTAACGGCAACTCAGGCCTGTGCAGAACACATGCCAGAAAAGCTAATCACGCAATGACAGAAATTACATTCAATTCAGTCGATGTACATTTAACTATGAAAATCAATGCCATGTGTCAGGTGAATTTCTTAAGTCAATTCATATAATCTAATCAGAGATTGAGCTTGCCAGGAAAAGTGGAATTACACACGCTGTTAACCCTAGTTCTCCCAACATAAGCGAATTTCTAGACAAGGACCCTCTATGGGTATAGGATGAGATTTTGGAGAAAAGAAGTTTGACATGTTCTTTCAGGAGATTAATGGCTTTCTTGAACAGACAACTGACACTAACTAAACTACAAACATCAGATTCTCTGATGTTTGGGCATCAAAATGATCTAAGTTCAGTAGTACTCAGAAATTCACGGCTATCCCCAAGGACAATGCTATCGGATGCCATTAGTACTGGCAGACTCTGTAGTGGATACCTCCCCTACAAGCACCGAACCTTCTCGAATTCCCCAGCCTACGCCTCCAGCGCCGCCCACGGAGCGGGGGTCAACTATCTACCCACGCTTACCCCCGCCTTATAAGGCCTGACACCGCTGTGACCAGCTCTTTTTTTTCTACCCAGTGCCACCAGCAAGCAACACCTCCTCCTCCGCGCCAGCCTTGCGGCTGCCGCTCCCGCCAGCGACCTTGGCATCCCTCAAGCCGCGTGCCCTCACTCTGGGCACCTTCACCACCCAGTTCTCTCTACTCAACTCTTATTACCATGCTACCTACCCAGCAACAAGCTGCATTGTACATCCAATACAATATGTATACAGTGAGCACATTGTGAGTTTCCTTTCTCCATCCCATCCTGAGTGTGAACCAATATCGCATACCTCTACAAATGGTGACCCCCGGAGATTCGCACTCACACAGGATGGAGGAGAAACTGATCACTCTCCCAGTCTTCAAGCAACATGGAAGACTGGCTTATCCACACAGAAGCAGCTCTCATCGGCTCTACATCTACTGTCTCTACACCGCAGGTTAGACACCCTAGAGCAGCTCTGCTACTCTAAGCAGACACCAGCTCCTCTTCCTGCCCCAAGCACCACGTCCTACCGACCCCAACACACCCGTCCTGCCTCAGACACCGCCCCCGGCCCAGCAGTACCCCCTGCAGCTCCTCCTGACGCGGACCCACACACCCCTCTTTTCTCCCTCAGGTACCCCCTGCTACTGTCCTGCACCCAGCTGCTGTCGTGGACCCTGCTGCTGTCATGCACCCTGCTGCTGTCATGGACACACTTCCTGACGCAGCCCCTGCTCCTGACCCAGGCCCACACACCCCAGCAGGCGTATCTGACGACTCTGTACCTGTCGAGAGGGAAGCACAACATTCACCGCCTCCACAACCCTCCTTCTCCCTCTTTTCTCCCACAGATCCCGTGTATCTAGACAGAGTTGCCCGCCCCCCCCCTAGCGGCCGGCTCATCCACGCCCTCGCCGTTATGTCCCACATGTGGCATGCACCGCCCGTTCTGCCTCACATGTGGCACGCAACTCTGCCAACCTCCAGCCTCCCGCCGCGCCCGGAGGGGAAGGGGAGTATTGTAGTGGATTCCTCCCCTACAAGCACCGAACCTTCTCGAATTCCCCAGCCTACGCCTCCAGCGCCGCCCACGGAGTGGGGGTCAACTATCTACCCACGCCTACCCCCGCCTTATAAGGCCTGACACCGCTGTGACTTCACATACACAGAAACAAAACAATGTAATTCTAGTCTGGAAACATATAAAATTATACAATATTAATATCAAGAATACACACTCATTTACAGTACGTCTGGCTGGGGCATACAGCTCATTTAGCAATTGGTTGTTTAGGGTAGTTCTATCCTACGTTGCACGTAACAGTATGTTGAAGGCATCATGTATTTTTTATATAGAGTATTTCGTGTGAAGAGATTATGTGTTGAGTACTCTGTAAAGCTTATGTCTCGTGTGTTCTTACACTGCGGCTGTTCGTAACTAAAGTCATTTTGTTTTGATATTTCAACAACAGAGAATCCGATGGAAACATAGAAAATGTTGTCAGTCTTGTATTATAGAAGTTAGATAATTGTCTGAAATGTAGACACAATACTTATTTATCGGTCGAGTTTAACGGAAAGTCCCAGTAATCTGCTCCAGTCACCCCTACACACTGCCGTTCTAAGAATTTGTCGTTAAGTTTATTTTTGTCTTTGAGAGCTGTCACTACTTCGTTTGAGATGGGAAACTTTAGCTAGATTAAAATGAGTTCGTAGCCTCATTCTCAAACACCCCTGTGTAAAGTAACTTAGTCTGTCGATTTACTTTCTGTAAGTGACGTCTTGGCAACTCACGGTTGGGAGACGCTGGCTGTGAGGAGGGTCAGAGGGGCCCCTGACCTCACTCCAGCCACGAATTCCATCCTGTACAGAGGGGGACCGATGGTAGAAGCGGTCCCGTTCTTGCTTCGCAAGCGAGATGTCACCGGGTTCGATTCCCGCGCCGGTGGAAGTTGTTTGGACTTACTTCCTAGCCCCCATTAGTCCCTGTTCACCTAGCAGTAAAATAGGTACCTGTTGTAAGTCGAAAGTTGCGAATTCGTATTCAGGAAGTTGTTGGAGTTTCCAATAACTTGATGACATAAAACCACTGACTCTTCAGGCTTCTACGCCCTTGCCTCTTCAGGCTTCTACGCCCTTGACTCATGAGACATAAAGGCAAGCATGAACTTAGCATGCTTCCCTGTTGGGCGCTGTAAACGCTTCTGCACTTCGCCTTACACAAGGATGTAGGGGAGTGCCGCCCCCCCAAAAAAAACAAAAAATCCTGTACAGAGAGAGAGGTACCTGAAGGCCAAGCTGGTCGTGTCGACCTCGGGACGACGTGCACACTAGCATTTGGATATGGATGAACGTCAATAAGGTCGAATATCGTCGCCAACACAGTTATGGGGTGAGCCGAGATCTCACCCACAGGCCAGCAGCCAAGCTCAGCCAGCTGCTGGGAGATTGTTGGCCTGGACGCGTTCACGCCCGAGATGTAAACATGACCCGCTCATGCAGTGTTGTTGTATGAATCCACTTATAAGTACAGATTATTTTGGATGTGTTATTTGTCCGAGAATTCATGTGTATAACCTCCTCAGTGCTATGTATGTTTAGAGCTAGCAAGAGTATGAGTTAAGCCATGGCTGGATTAACCATTAAGCAAAATAAGCACGTGCTTAGGGCATCAAGGGAAGGGGGGGCACCACAGAAATTTTCCATAGCCGGATTTACCATGGACCATGGACCATATGGTGCAAAACTGCAAATGGTGCAGCTATATATGTGCCCTGTGCGGCTCATTCACTAAATCTGGTAGGCCGACGTGCTGTTGACTGCTGTCAAGAGGCTGTTAATTTCTTCTCTACAGTGCAGTTGCTCTATACTTTTTTTTCAGCCTCAACCAGCCGGTGGAAAATTCTTAAAGGTTGTATTGGAAATGAAAGTGTCTTAAAATCCCTCTCTGATACCAGATGGGAGGCGCATGCTATGGCAACAGCAGCAATTTTGAAATCTTTCCTTGAAATTTTAGAAGCGTTATAATGTATAGCCGAAGACCAGTCACAAAAGGGAGACACTAGAAGAGAAGCAAATAATATTGCAAATAAGATGCAAGAGCTAGAATTCGTTTTTATGTTGAATTTTTGGAACGAGATTTTGCAAAATTTTCATAGAGTAAGCCAAGTTCTACAAAATGAGGATGTGAACTTAAAAACATGTGCAGATCTGTATGGATCATTAGCTGACCAACTGTGCACTTCACGAGATAAATTTGAAAGATATGAAGCAGCTACAAAGGATATGCTACCAGATGTTGATTACAAGGCAGCTCAAACTCGCAAACGTATGAGAAAGAAGGTACTGTTACGAGTTGGGGATTTAGAATATAGTTAAAAGTCTACCCAGATCCCAACAGGCAACAACAATAAAAAAACAAAGACAATCGGACTATAAAAGGGTAGACAAAGGATGCGAGTTTTTGTTGTGTATAATATAGTACCATAAATTCCTTAACAAAATATTCAGCTTTCTATAATTTACCCTTAACCATACTTAACCTAAACATTAACAGTATATACATATTTATACAACATACAATAATTTGAAGCAAGGTGGACCCGATAAGGCAATATAAGATTATAAATACTTAAGTGCGGAGTTGAGATGGCTGACGAGTAAGGCTGAGTATTGTAGAAGACGGTAGGTAGTCACTGTGCCGTAGGTTTCCAGGATAGGTGATCCTGTGGTCACTTCCCAGAGTGAACTGAACTCTCCTCGAACTGGAGCTGACGAAGAAGACTTTGAGGAGGTGACGCAACAACCAGGATATGGAGAAGGGAAACTCCGGAGTGGTAACTAAGAGTAGTCATACTTGGGTTTCGTCCCTAGTATGGCGTTGCTCGTGGTGCTGGGTAGGTAGATCAGGACAATAGATGGCGCGGTTTGTAGTGCTGGGTCGGTAGCTCATGACAATTGGTGGCGTGGTTCGTAACAGTACCCAATGACGGAGATGCACCAGAAGTACATCTGAATGCCAGAGATAAATTTCGTATCACCACCTTTTACACAATTATTGACAAACTTGAAACTGAGATGAGAAGAAGAGGAGAGATATATAAAGAAATAGCAGAGAGGTTTTCTTTTCTAAGTGATGTGCCACATAATGCCACTTCATCATCTACTGAAATTGAAAGGTATTCTCAGTGCTGTCAAAAGCTGAGTGATGCTTACCCAGAGGATTTCAACACTAATTTCTCAACTGAGCCTTAGCAGTTTCACTTGTATGTGCGCCATAAGTTTAGTGCAACAAAAAATGTAAAACCAAGATTCAGTCATGCTGAACTTTATACAATGATTGTAGAAGACAATATTGAGTGTGCCTTTCCAAATGTTGATATTGGCTTTCGTATATTTTTAACATTAATGGTCACAAATTGCACAGCTGAGCGTTCATTTTCTAAGTTGAAGTATATTAAAAATCCCATCAGAACAACTATGCAACAAGGCAGGCTGGATGCCTTATCTCTACTAAGTATAGAAGCAGATGTGTTACATAAGACTAGTTTTGAGGATCTGATCAAAGACTTTGCAATTAAAAAAGTAGGAGAAAACTTTTCAACTATAAATAAAGTGGACGTATACAAAAATAAACTTTATTTTCCATCTTACTGTAAATTCTGTTTAATTTCGAAAAATAACATTTTATTTTATGGTTTATTATTGTTTATATTTTGAATTACATATATAGGGGGCAACAAAATCTTTTAAGTGCTTAGGGCCTCTAAGGGTCTTAATCCGGCCCTGAGTTAAGCCACTGGTTCTTGGTAGCTCTACAGGAATTAGTTGTGGGGCTGCGGCAGTCCTATTACTTTTTACAAGCTACATTTTCAGGTAACCCGTAATGTTGATGCTCCAGTGTACTATGGGTGTGATCACAGTGTTAGGTGGTTTTGTGAAAAGTACACCATTTTGTTTGTATACTGGAAGTTGTATTGTACCTTACTGTGAAGTACCTTGGGTGGAGCCATGAATGTGACCCGTGCAGTGTGTGTACTGCAAGCTGTCTTGTTGGTACTCCAGTGTACGAGGAATAAGAGTAGCGTGGAGTCTTGTTTAAAAGACACCCCAAGTGATGGTGACTCTGAGAGATGTATTATACCTTGTTGAGAAGTACATGAGTATTACTCATGGTAGTTGTGCGTACTGGAAGTAGTCAGAAGTCTAGCATTTTTGTATAAACCATTTTTATTGTATGTTAGGGGTATTATTTTCCTGCAGTGACCACCTTTATTTTCTTCCCATATCTTGGTAACATTATTACAGTTCCACGTGTCTTGCCCTCAAGCTATGCTACCACAGGTCTGATATTAAGTCAGAGAGTACAATAGTTGTTTAAGTAGTGGGACGAAGAGTAAAGCAATTCATTGATATAATTTCTTCATTATTTAAGCAAATATATGAATATTTGGAAACTTGTCATGATCTTAAATAACGATGAATAGCTTATTATTATAAAAATGACACTTTTGGATTGTTTAATATTTATCCTGACAGTGATACAGCCGAAAATAAATCCACCAACAACAATTCCCATTACGTACAGCCTTCCTTCCTTAAGTATTACCAGGTAAAATTGCCAGTACGAGAGCTAGGGTGGGGTCGATGTAACTCTAGCCAGCGAGTCCTCGCCGTGAAATCTTGTTTCGCTCAAAGCTGCTATGTCTATATTTTATTTCTTGAACTCATTTGCCTCCAGCGCAGTTTTTCTCTGTTGCTTGTCAGACTCGGTATGTGCATCAAAGAGTGTGTGCACACTCCACGTTCCGACCATGAGTGGCACCTGGTGAACTGGTGTTTATGATTTTCTGTTACCGTTATTACTGTACAGTTATCATGTGTACACACACACACACACACACACACACACACACACACGCACGCACATAAGTTCACGTACAGATACACCGCCATACTCTTAAAAATAAAAAAATCTTAGTGATTACAGAGAAAAATATTCAATGCTACCTAGTCTACCAGTTTAATTAGAGCTACGTCAAAATTCATCACCAGGAGGCACTGGATGAAGGTGTTCTAGTGTAGAGAGGCCGTGGATGGCCCCGTGGAAAAGTAAGCTGTGAGGAACACCACCATGACACAGAATAGCATGGGTGCTGGATCCTGGTGACACACGCCGGTCGAACCACTGCTGTTGTCTTCAGATTGGCTCCTCCCGTGATGCATGGCGGCTGGTCGCTTGTCTGTTGGCAAGAAATAGCAATACTTTTCAATACATACATATATATGTATACTGTATACGATTTTCTTTGTCCCAATTATACACGTGCTAGTGTGAATACTATGTGGCTATCTCTCTTCCTACTCTTATGTTCGTTCACAAAAACTTTTGGGCTTCCGCCCTGGGTTTTCTATTTGCTCTCAGCATGAAGGACAAAGTTGAGTTTTTCTCTTCATAACTTTATTTTATTGATGTCCTCAGTAGAGGGTTCAGCTTTTCCAGGTGAACTTTAGCGAGGCTGCTAGACTTAGTGTTCCTTCCGGAATGATGACCTTCCGGTCTTACTAGCAACCTAGAGTTATGTTGAGATGGACCTTGTTTCCTTACTATGGGTTATATGAGAACCATTCAGGGTGGAATTCTCAACCCAATAAATATTGCTAGAGTAATTGTGAATGATGTTGCCAATAGAGCGCTATTTTCGCGGCTCAGCACTGTCAACCCTGTCGGGTGATAGTACTTACTCTGGCATTATCGCTCAAGCTAATTAATTGGGGGATAATGTCTGTGCCCCTGATTGGCAACAGATAGAGAACTTGATGATCCCTCTAAATTAAAATGCTCTAAATGAAATAAGTTTATGTAAGAAAAGAAAAAATCATTGAGCTAAGGGATACTTGAGATAAAAGTCGGGAAAGGGATACGACATAGTAAGTTAATTGTTATAGTTGTCAAACGAGTGACTTATATAACAATAAGAGATCTTAATGAATTAACTTACTAATAGTATAACAATTATGAGTCATATTGATGAGGTTTGGGAGAAAATGTTTCCTCCCTTATATTTTTATTATGATATAATGTGACTCATTGTGTTTCTAGAGCCAATATCATTACATCTATCAATGCAGATCTGTGCAGCATCTCCGAATGGGGAGGTAGACAGTATTTACAAATTGCGCTCTCCAAATTAGATGATCTCCCACCAATCACATTTCAAGACGATATCATCGTGCCAAATTCTAAAATAGATATGGTAGGCCTCGCCATTTCCTCTAATATATCATGGAAGTCACACATCCTCAACATTGCTAAAGCTGCCTCCCGAAAGCTGGGAATGCTGTAGAGATGCCGTAGCTACTTCAATCCTAAGCAGTTGCTTCAAGTATATGAGGGATTCATTCGTCCTAACTTGGAGTACTGCTCTCATATCTGGGGTGGCTCCTCTTTTGTCCAACTATTCGATAGGGTGGAATCAAAGGCATTTCGTCTTATTAACTCTCCTCCTTTAGTCGACAATCTCTCTTCCCTTTCTCTTCGCCGCAATGTTGCTTCACTCTCTCTCTTTTACAGGTACTTTAACGGGCAATGTTCGGTGGATTTGGCATCCTGTGTACCGCCGGCAAGGCCGTGGGCTCGTAACACACGTCTTGCCCGCGGTGCCCACCGTTTCTCTGTGGATGTGGGTCACACTAGAATAACCCGTTATAGTACCTCCTTCTTTCCTCACACAGCCAAACTGTGGAATGCTCTGCCTTCTTCTGTGTTTCCATGCTCTTACAATCTGTCTCACTTTAAAAAGCTGGTTTACCGGCATCTTCGAGGTGTAGATTAATAAAGTATAACCTTTTTTTTCCATATTTACAATTTCTTTCCGTTCTTTTTTTTTTCGCCCCCCAGGCTCCGTTGTGGGTCGTTTGACCTGTGCCCGGGTGGGCAAATTCCCGTAAAAAAAAAAGAAAAAAGTAATGATTATGACTTGCTTGGTGATGGGATTACTAAGTATAATACACATCTTTGGGATAACATAACTGACTGCTATAACATGAATCTTTATCCCTCTGTAAGATCAATAGGTATTTGACAAAAATATTGGATAACAATACCGAATATTTAGGCCAAAGATACGATCACCACAAATTGTTGTACATAGTTCATTACTGAGGAGTGATACTGTATTAACTATAATTACCTGTACCTGTTATGAGGCATTCCTACGCAACTCCCAGTGATCAGGGTTTGAAATCTCGGTTTGAGAAATCCGAGACAACCATAGGTTTCTTCTTTGGATTTTTAGTTTTTTGTGTTCCTCCCCGATTTGGTATCTTGGGTATTCAGTAAAGGGAAAGGCTGGAGTGCTTACTGGATTTATTTTCACAACCCAGAATGCAACAAAAGTGTGGCATCGCTATAGCAACTGCTACAACAGCCACCAAGACACTAAAAGTAGAATGAAATGAGCCGACGTCCATAAGATTCCTCTCGTTTATAGTCTCAAGTGATCTCACAGGATCGCGCGCCTTACACACAATGCCCCTGAATAGTGACGTCAGAGTTTGATGAAGCCTATCAAAAAATCCTCAATTGACTCCATGTAGCGAGATAATATGTTTCTTAAAATCGTTGTTATATGTTGGTGATTTAGTGGAAAGCATGATCATGAATCATATATCTGAATGCCCTAAATCAAATACCAAAAAAAATATATATATATATATATATATATATATATATATATATATATATATATATATATATATATATATATATATATATATAATATATATATATATATTTATATATATTATTACAGAATATAAACGTGTTGAATTAATATATATATACTTTTTATATAAATTAATTCTTTAGTTTTCACATGTTCTTCCTTAAAGTTGTAGTGGATTTCTCCCCTACAAACGCTGTTTGTCGCTGCCGAGCCGACCCCACCAATTCCCCAGTGTATGCCTCGTGGTCTGGGTCAACCAGCGCCGCCATACATCACGGAGCGGGGGTCAACTACTAAGCCACGTCTACCCCCGCTATTTAAGATCTGACCTCGTGGTGACCTGCCTCTTTCTACCCACACCAACCAGCCAGCAACACCTCCTCCTCCGCCGCTGCCTGGCGGCCCTCGCTCCTCCTCCGCCTGCCTGGTGGTCCTCTCTCCCGCCGGCGAGCATGGCGACCCACAAGCTGTCCTTCTCTGAGCGTCCTCACCAACCAGCTCTCTCTACATCACGCTTGTAACCATGCTGCCTTCCCAGCACCAAGCTGCATTGTACATCCAATACAACATGTATATAGAGAGCACATTGTGAGTTTTCTTTCTCCATTCCATCCTGAGTGTGAACCAAACATTTGAAACCCCACAAAGTCATATACTGTACAGCGATATTTTATCCCACACGATAACTTGTTCCTTCAGGTTGTGAACTCATCAAATGAAACGACTCAAGTTCTAGGAAGTAGGGAACCATCACATCCGAAGCAGCTAGACCAGTACCCACAAAGGACAGCAAACACACCCACTGAGACAAATGCAGTATATCATAGAAAACGTTGTCTCAGACATGTTCAAGGGGGCCTTAAATGACCTGGAATTGGATCATCTGCAGATGGTGAATGCCACTCACACCAGGCATTTGCCTAATATAGGAACTTGTCTAGTATGAGTGCAATAAAGGGATTATTTAGCCTTTTAAGACAACGATCAACAAACAATGAAGGGAACCCAAGTTTTTGTGCAATGTACTGAATGTGTTGCAGTTCCTCAAAAAATTCAGAATCACAAATTTGCAAAAATCTCTAAAACATAGCAGCAAAAATTGACATTTTGGTTGATTCGTGGTGACTCGATAAAAAATTTACGAAACTGTCTACCTGTGTAGGCTTTCTGTACACCTTAAATTTGTAGTTATGACCATTTCTAATGATAAGCATATCAAGAAATGGAAGGGATCCATTTATTTCTCTTTCAATTCTGAAGGTAATACTAGGACAAGATCATTAAGTTTGTCCAAACAATCTAGTGAATCCCTGTTTCTTGGCCATAGACAAAGAACATTATCTACATATCTATACCATGGAGGAATAAAGTTCCCTATATTGGTAGTAATCTAGCCTCAAAAAACTCCATATAAATACAGGCTAGAGGAGCACAAAGACAATTACCCATGCTCATGCCAAATATTTGCTTGAAAAACTTCCATATGTTCTAAAACATTGTCAGTAATGCATTACTCTATCAATTTGAGAAAAATGTCATGTTTAATTGTTAAATCTAACAGATACAATCTATCTTTAAGGAATGAAATTAGGTCATTACGGTAAAGGTGGTGTGTGGATTAGTGGATCCCATGTTATTGTGTGTGTGAACAAGATGTAAAATAACTTATTAAAATTAAACAAGGTAGTTGACTGACCTGTGACAACATGGACCGTGACGTTGGCAGGTGTGGCCAAGTGAGGGTCACAGGTGTAGGTGCCGGCGTGTGAAGGCCTCACGTGAGACACCACCAGGCTGCTGGTGTAGTTGTGGTGCTCCACCTGCACGGACAGCCTTTCTCTTATTGTCCGCCCTCACACACAAACTGAACTATACAAGTAAGGCCTACTACTCCAGTCTGATACAGTCACTGTTCATTAATGATTACTGTAAGAAAAAATATCTTTAAATATGCCCTTTACCTGACACTAAGATTGTTCCACATATATATATATATATATATATATATATATATATATATATATATATATATATATATATATATATATATATATATATATATATATATATATATATATATATATATATATATATATATATAGCTAATATGAAACTGCTTTACATTTACATAATAACATTCCATCCTACAGATTGTTGTTCATCACGTGTATTAGATACTAATATAACCATCCCACTGTCCAATACGTTTACTGACGTAAATATTCTCACCTGTAGTGCCTCCAGTCTGCCGTAGTTAACCATGGTGTTGTTGTGGTACCAGAAGATATAAACGGGCGGTAAGGGAGCATTTTGCACATAGCAATCAAGTGCCAGATGAGAACCCTCCTCAATGTGTACCTCACTGGGGCCGGCAACAACAGCCTCCGCTTCTGTCATTGCAGGGAAAGAAATACTGAGATTACGCACACAAATACCAATATACTGACGCCATATGTAGCTAAACTGATACAAGCTAGGATCAGGGTTGAAACAAGAGGCCATCCAGGTCACACACGGTTTCCTTCCCTCTCACACACAAAGGAGAGGGCTAAACATTCAGATCAAGGAAGAATTAGACCCCCTTGGATGTCACATTGTCTTAAAATATATGATCGACTTGGAATTTAGCTGAGACACCTGAAGATTATGGTTAACTGTAATTTAAAGGGCGTGTACTCCTCCTGCGGCCTAATGACCCCACGATGACTCATAATGATCTCACTTCCAGTCAGACATAAACCCAGTATTTGCAGATCTTGCAAAATCCTGCTAGTGGGTGTGAAGTCCATGTCACTAGACTTCCCCCAGTTGAGTCATATCTCTGTCACTCTCACATTAGAAGGAAACCAGACGACCATGGCAGCCAGTAAGCAGTCAGAAAGCAGGAAAGCCCGTCCAGGATGGCGACAACAATGCACCCCCTGCTGGCTTATTCCTGTGAAACTTGACGCAGAGAAACCCTATGGAGAGAATGACGTAGTGTCGCTGCCAGCAAACCCTCTATTCATCTTGGATATGCTGGATGCAGGGATGTCCCCAGCTGGGATCCTGTCATCATTGTTCCAGCCAGGCCGCCAGCCCGACGACACCATCTGGTACCATAGTTATCTAGGGACGATGGAGCCGACTCGGTGCCTCTCTTTGACCCAGGGGCCTTGCCTTAATTGATTGGATAGGAAGGGGCTGACCTTAGTTGTGCTGGTCTGAATCAACGTGCTGGTTACAGTCAGCGTTTACAACGTCCAAACTACTTGTGAATGACAGTTGCTAGAAGCAAGGAGGAGGAGAGAAGTGAGAAGTGATGTCCCAGAGGAGTGATACATATTGTCCTGAAAACCCTTGACCCGTTGGTAGTTCTATTAAGGATCAGCCCCATAGGCACCTACCAGTGTAGATGTGTCATGCCGAACCTAATGGAGTGAGGGAAGCGTGCCACGGTGCAACACAACAGTTCACGGAGGTGTTAGTACGGATGGAATGGTGGTCACTGTGGATATGATCGATGCTGTGTGTCCTGATCGAAGTTGGAGGAGAAGATTCTTGTGGAGTTGTTGAGAAGAGGGAAGAGGATCCTATGTCCTGTGGGATGGACATTCCCGGTGTTGAAAATTGACGAGCTGGACCCCCCACTATTGGAAAAGCTCCCTTTCCCATTATGAGTTCTGAAACTAACCGCCCAATAAGATATTGCAATTGTGGAGTGAGGCTATGCCGTCCAAATTAGTACCAGGGAAGAAGTACAAACGAAATTATCATTATTAGTAACTCTAGGCAGTTAGTACGTAGTGGATAACGTAGTCAAGAAATTCCACGTCTCCAGAAACGATTTGATCACTGAAAGTTAGTGAACAGTATGCAAGTGTCTGTGGGTGACCTGCCATCTGCAAATGTTAACTCTGTATCTCTGTCTGTTGGCAGATATACCATCATCAGTTGTAAGACGACCAGCTGAAAAACAGGAAATAAGATATACAAAGTGTGTGTGTGTGTGTGTGTGTGTGTGTGTGTGTGTGTGTGTGTGTGATAAGATCTAACAGAGTATCCAACGAAAAAATGTGAAATTATCTGAGAGAATAAAAACCACAATTTCTTAAGTAATTAAGAAAATAAGTGAAGAAAATCCGTTTTGAGAAGATCTGTGAATTGACTTTGAGAAGTAATACATTGAAATGTTAGTAATTTTCAAAATTGATGTTGAAGATTCAGTAAAAGTCGAACAATTGATTTTTGATGAAAACCAAAGGGAGAGAAATAAAAAAATCTATATTCTATATAAATTCATTTGTGCAGGACTAGTAATTAAGTCTTTTGTTTTTCATATGAGGTATTTATTATGAATACTTTTAATTAACTTGATACTGAATTGATTTTATTTTGAGTGATACATAATTGATTTGAATTTTTATTAAAGTATTATGATAAACCATTATATCTTAGAGTGCTTTCATTACTGATTTTTTATATTGAATTTATCCATCATTTTACGTCTCATGATTTTGTGTGATTCATATTTGATATTTTTTTGTGTTTGCTTTTAGAAAATTTTAGGTTCTTACCTTACATACTAAGAGCTGTTTAATAACTATGTGGACATTTACTAAATCTATTTTTTTTTCATTTGTGATATCTAGTGAATTACAGTTTGATGTGTAAATATTGAGAAACATTATTTGTGTTGTCAATTTGATGTGCTAATTAAGTTTACATATTCCTAGCTAGGATTAGGAATGAAAATTTGTGAAACATTTTGTGATTATCTCGCAAATTTTCATATAAGCGACCAGGGGATTATGATTATGATTTATTATTATTATTATTATTATTATAGGTTAGTGTTACACACACATGTCAATAGTGTGCAATATTTTTATTTTCCAAATCAAATCAGTGTGATACTCATACGCCAGGATGTAGGTACACATTTAGTAGTAGAAGGTTCTCATATAGCACCAGACTATTGTGAAATTAGCAGTAATGCAATCATAACCTTGCCTACTCTCCATCATCTTGCATTTGTCACGAACATTACTTCTGAACTGGTACCCAGACCATTTTTCCTGAATATAAATTTCAGCAGTATTCATATTACCTCTCATAAGAATAAATTTCTATCATATATTAATAAAACACAGTTTCCTGACTTACAGGATTCTTTTCCTCTGTATTTATCTTCCTGTATAATCCTACATGGTTTCATTATACCTGCCATCATATTTATCAGTTCCTTGGTTGTTATGATAATTTGTTATAGAAGGATTTCTACGAAAACTTAACAGAAGCAATTGCAAAAGCATGTGCAAGAGCCCAAAGTTTAGCTAAAGCACACTTTATTGCAACATGGTTAGGTATACTTAAGATTTAAACCGGGAGGACTCGGTTGGAGGTGGCCAAGCGGAGTAACAGCACCTTTTGCATTATATAAATATTCACCAAATGAATAACACAATATTATTCACTAAGTCATTCATCATTGACTCAGTTGTTGATGTTATACACGGCTGAGCTTGTAACTCTCTCAAAATTCGAGAGAGGTCAACTAACTAATCAAAACACCCGATTGACACGCCCTCTTACTCAGAGGAGAGGGCCAGATTCTTACCACTAGTTAAGGGGTGAACACCTAACTTAAGTGTTCACATACACTGTTATAAGTGTACTCAAAACATTTCCCTGAAGAGAATTCACAATACATTCTCTCCAAAACTAAGTACTGTGTATATAATTGTTTCAACAATAAAGAACAGCCCAGAAGAAGTGTTTACATCATCCCTGCCACTTATTTAAAACAATTGTGTGAGATACACAAATCGCTATCACATAAATGGCTGCTCTAAGCCTTGTACTTTGTACAAATTGGAGAAATATTTCTTGTTCTTGACGAGTAAACATATAATAGGCAACAAATGTACACGTATATATGATAGGTAGTGAAGGAGAGTGGGTGGCCAGGTGATGCAAGTAAGTGGAAGGTAGCTGAAGGTGGAGCGATTAGGCACAAGCTGAGCCAGAGGACTTACGTGTGACGACGAGGCTGAAGAAGAAGGAGACAGGTGGGTTGGTGGTAAGCTGACACTCATATTGGCCAGCGTCCGTCAGCTGCACTTCCTTCACCCACAGCTCCCACGCCTGCTGACGGTGCAACACAGCACAGTCACTTTAGTCGATTACGGTGTAGAGACAAGAAATTTATTGAAAATTTGATGATCATTATTATTATACATGTAACCAATATACACAATACCCTGTTTCAAAATAATATAAAGAAACTTCACTATCAGCCTAATATATGCTGTACGCAAAGTACGTACATGAACATAGAACCTTAAGGTACGCAAATACTGTACACACTCAATAACAACACAAGAAATGAATAACGTGCAAGGAAATCAAAGAACTTTAATATAAATAATTATTTTAGAATTGCAGTAAATACAGTACAAGAATTCTATATTTTGAGAGTGTTCTCTGTGCATTTTAATAACGTATCTCCACTGATGCCAAAGGGTGTGATTATCAATAACCCCCTGGTAGTGGTATATGGCCCGATACACGCACTCAGCTTTTCACTAATTTATAACTGTGTAGGCCAAAAGTGCATAGTTAAACTTGACTGTGCAAGTGTATTCACACTGCACAGTTTGTTGGTCAGTTATATGTAAAGTACTTATTGTTTGCCGTGATAAAAACTTGCATCCCAGCGAATTGGAGGATGGAACATAGACTACGTTGGTGAAAGTTTTCAAGTGCCTTGAGGTGCCTCCTGTATATGACTCGTGTCTCGCTGCCAAAAAAGTAGGGGGGGGGGAGAAGATCACTGCTCCATATCCGTGCAATTTTGTAAATAATTTTAGCTCCCTACCGCTGGATACACGGGTACGGGGCCTGCCAAAGGCTTGACATGCACATCTGATCCGATGTTGAATCTCTTCATCCTTGTTCGTGGGAGCCGAGATTATGAAAGTGGGTAAAATTAGAGAGGGTAATACTGTTAAGCCGGATGGATGGGGGTGGTGTGGCTGAACCAGGGGCAGGTTCAAAAAGAATCTGAGTCTTACGTACATTCACCTCAAGATCGAAATGTGCATACGCATTTGTGTGGTGTTCAGGATATCCTGAACACCACACGTCTGCATACGTAAGTTCAGTAATGGAAGCTGTCGGCATCTTTGTTCCTGCCTGGAGTCGTCTTATGTTGAAAAAATCCTTCATCCGGTACTGGATGTCCACCCTGATGGCTAAAATGACACTGGCACAAATAAGGAAGGCTTGAACGGCAGTGTCCTGCCCAAAGGCACCAAGATTGAATTTTTCCCCAACCAAGCGGGGTTAAACAAGGTTTTGTACTAGCACCATCTCTCTTTTCCACATTCTTGGTTGCCAATTCTTACTCGTGCCAGTGCTAACACACACACACGACTTTGCATATTACTATCTGCAATGGTTATAGTTCAAATATTCATGCATTATATATCTTTTATTCCAGTTCCCTACGTCTGAGCAAGAATGGAAAGGTATTGCCAAACAATTTCAAGAGAAATAGAAATTTCCACACTGTTTTGGAGCTCTAGATGGGAAACATGTGCAGATCATTCCACCTGCTGGAAGCAGATCCTCGTATTATAATTACAAGGACTATCATAGCAAAGTTTTCATGGCAATGGCAAATGCAAATAAGAATTTTTTTTTTTGTGATTTTGGCAGAAATGGGCCGGCGTGTTTCTGATGCTGGAGTATTAGATTATATAGAAATATGTGATAAACTTGTCAATTAGAGATTAAATATTCCACCTGCTGAAAAAATTGGTAATACAGATATTGAACTTGCGTTTGTATTTATTAGTGACGAAGCTTTTGATCTAAGTAAGAATCTTGTCAAACCATTTAGCCAAAGGGACTTGACCAATGAGCACAGAGTATTTAATTATAGGCTATCTAGAGCTCGCAGATTTGTTGAAAGCGTGTTTAGTATACTGGCAGCACGATTCAGAATTGTTCATACAAAATAAACTTGCAACCATCTAACATAACCAGTGTTGTCATGGCATGCTCCATCTTGCATAATTTCTGATGAGAAACTTCTAATCCAGACACAACACGGGATTGTTTGGGTCAAGAAGACCATTGTGTTCTGTTGGGTACTCGGGGTGTAAGAACAGATGAAAGTAATTTACTCGATCTGAATCGAGGTCATAGCCGGAATGCTGGAGATGCTGCAAAACAGATTCGAGAAGCATTTTGTAATTACTTCATCAACGAAGGGAGAATGGTATGGAGTCAGAAAGCAGACATAGCCTAGGATATCTTGAGTTAGTATACTGCATAGGACATTAGTATGTTTTCTTTAAATTATCGAAATTACTAGATGTATTATGCATTGGTTGAAGTTCTGTGTCTGCATATTCTTTTGCTTGCTAGTTTGTATGTTGAATGGGAAGACACAAGTTACGTATTTGCTAGCTACCTATACATTTACATAAAATGTAATATACTGTTATACTAATCAGTGATTAAAAAATTAGTAGATAATCAACAAAATGTTTAGCTTACTTCAGGTTCCCGACCTTTTCAAGCTGGACGTTGATGCACCCGGTGTCACGTGGTCCAATAAAAAGTTCAGGAGGTTGAAATACCATAGCCGAGGAGTATTGATGTTGTCAGTACCTGCCCCGGACTTCTTTGATTCTAACTGTTTTTCATTTTTTGCCTGGTATACAGTACACTTCTCAGGTTGTTTATTTTCTTCACGACTGCATTTCGCTCTGCCACCAGATCCACTTCTCTCATCTTTCCAACAAGTTTTTTGTAAGCTGATGCTTTTAATTTCTCATACATATTCATGGCTTCGGTAAAGCCCAATAATTTCTGTTACAAACTCCCTCGCATGTCCGACATCATGCCGACACGGAAATTGCCTGAGAAAATTTTTGGATTTGCCTCCACACTTCAAATCAGAACAGTTAACTTTTCTGTCACTGACAGATATCGCTCCAGCCAAGATTTTAGCCTGTACAGTTAAAACCGTGCAGATAATTATTCAGCAACACGTTCTGGATTAACTGTACATATTTTATCTGCCCAGATAATCTAGAGTGAAAAACTGAGCGTGTGTAGTGGGCCTAAGGTCTCTAACAACAGGAATATAATGTAACAATCTTTAGAAAGGTTATGTTACCTCAAGCTCTGAGTACCAATGTACCGGAGACATGCAAAACGATTAAAGGACACATATTTCAGGGTATCAATTTTATTCTAAACATTTCAATAATTAGATCTTATGACCTCCTTCGTGGATTTTTATATATCAATTAAAGAAAACTTGGCTAATGATGCAAAAAATGTACTTGTGAAAGCTCAAATGAAACATTGTTAGAGCACATTATGCCGCTTGAAAATTTTGCATATATTTAAAATAAACAAATCTTGTCTAATAAGAAAAAGTTGCAATCCTAAACTTCATTCAAATATGCTCGGAGATGGAAACACCAGTCGAGGAATATCACCGCCAAAATGAGTACGGTGTGAGAGACAGTACAGAGTGAGGAACGAGAATGAGTGTAGAGTGAGGAGTGACCATGTGTAGAGAATAAGGAAAGAGAATGTGTTGAGAATGAAGAGTGTGTACGGGTTGAGGAGTGAGTGTGTGTAGAGAGTAAGGAATGAGAGTTTTGAAAGGGAGGATTAAAAGTGTATAGAGAATGAGGAGCGAGAAGAGTGTAGAGATTGAGGAGTATGAATGTGTGTATAGAGTTAGGAGTGAGAATGTGTAGAGAGTGATGAGTGAGAGTGTGTAGGGCGTGGGGAGTAAGAGTTTGTAGAGAGTGAGGAATGAGAGTGTGTAGGGCGTGGGGAGTGAGAGTTTGAAGAGAGTGAGGAATGAGTGTGTGTAGGGCGTGGGGAGTAAGAGTGTGTAGGGAGTGAGGAGTGAGAGTGTGTAGTGCGTGGGGAGTGAGAGTTTGTAGAGAGTGAGGAAGGAGTGTGTGTAGGGTGTGGGGAGTGAGAGTTTGTAGAGAATGAGTAGAGTGTGTAGGGCGTGGGGAGTAGAGTTTGTAGAGAGTGAGGAATGAGAGTGTGTAGGGCGTGGGGAGTGAGAGTTTGAAGAGAGTGAGGAATGAGTGTGTGTAGGGCGTGGGGAGTAAGAGTGTGTAGGGAGTGAGGAGTGAGAGTGTGTAGTGCGTGGGGAGTGAGAGTTTGTAGAGAGTGAGGAAGGAGTGTGTGTAGGGTGTGGGGAGTGAGAGTTTGTAGAGTGTGTAGGGCGTGGGGAGTAAGTTTGTAGAGAGTGAGGAATGAGAGTGTGTAGGGCGTGGGGAGTGAGAGTTTGTAGAGAGTGTGTGGGGCGTGGGGAGGTAAGTTTGTAGAAGTGAGGAATGAAAAAGAGGTATGTAGGGCGTGGGGAGTAGAGTTTGTAGAGTGAGGAATGAGAGTGTGTAGAGGCGTGGGGAGTGAGTGTTTGTAGAGAGTGAGGAATGAGAGTGCTGTAGGAGGGGTGAGAGTTTGTAGAGAGTGAGGAATGAGGTGTGTAGGGGCGTGGGGGGTGAGAGTTTGTAGAGAGTGAGGAGTGAGGCTCATGTAGAAGTGAGGAATGAGGTGTAGAAAGTGAGGAGTAGCAGGGAGTGTGTAGGGCGTGGGGGAGTGAGAGTTTGTAGGGTGTGTAGGGCGTGGGGAGTAAGAGTGTGTAGGGAGTGAGGAGTGAGAGTGTGTAGTGCGTGGGGAGTGAGAGTTTGTAGAGAGTGAGGAATGAGAGTGTAGGGCGTGGGGAGTAAGAGTTTGAAGAGAGTGAGGAATGAGTGTGTGTAGGGCGTGGGGAGTGAGAGTTTGTAGAGAGTGAGGAGTGAGAATGTGTAGAAAGTGAGGAATGAGAGTGTGTAGGGAGTGAGGAGTGAGAGTGTGTAGGGCGTGGGGAGTGAGAGTTTGTAGAGAGTGAGGAATGAGAATGTGTAGAAAGTGAGGAATGAGTGTGTGTAGGGAGTGAGGAGTGAGTGTGTATGGCGTGGGGAGTGGGAGCATTTTCCCTCCTCAACCCCAGTACCACCCACAGAAGATACCTACCTGACACACCCCTCCCCTCTCCCTCCCACTTACAAGCGAATGCTTCAAATTCTAACTTCTGAGTTCAGGTTTCACACCTCAAAGAAAGAAGGCATTGGCAACACAAAGTGGTAAATGCAGGAATGGAGCCATCTTTACAGTCCGGCCAAAAGTCATATTTCAGGTAGTTTTGGCTTACCCGGTTAAGTGCCAAAGTTAGAGACACACGCACGAACACACATGGCGTCTCTATGCACATTTCCTCTATGAACTGTATATTTTACCGACGATATATGGTGAAATGATAATGTATTTTATACTGTATTACTTTAATATAACATTATCAATGATATAGTAACTGTCAGTCAGAAGCTAAGACGCAGTGCCTCGCCATACTTTCGAGTTATAATGTAATATATGTATCCGTGTAAAACAATTATTTTATCGAGCATAAAGAAATGGTTGCGGTGAACACTTACCGTTTCATGTCATATTATATAAGTATGGTGATAGGAATATAAAAAGTTATGGATTAGGAGAAATAAATTACTTATATGTTACAAACACACTAAAGAAAAATAACCCATATTATGTCTGCTAGACACCTGAATTATGATAACAGTTCATTTTAGAACATGTCAGTGTAGACGTCCACTTTGAACTATACCACTTAACGGTGATAATATTTATCTTATGTGAGTGCCGGGAGGACAGATGGTATATAAAAGCACTATAGTAGAGAGGTTCATAATGGAGACTGGTGGTGATGGGTATATTATTGACGCCAGTCTCACTGCAAATGATAATTTATTGTAATATGGAAACGACGATTTTATGGACAGTTCAAGCCATTCACTCCAACATTTAACTTATCCGAGGTTATGACGTGGTGATACAGCAACCGTTCAGTCATTCCACCAGCTATAACCATAAGAGACCAACACCACGATCTCCCAGAGAGGGCAATTTGTCGGCATGCGTAACATGGGGTTAAGTATCAACGAGATGGCAAGGCAAATGGGAGTTTCAAGATCGGCAATGCGGTGTTGGTTACAGCACCATCCTCGCCATCGCCACCTACTGCCACCGGCAGTCCCCCGCCCACCTCGCACAGTCCGCCACTACAACAAAATTCAGCCCATAAGAGCCAGCACCGATAGATATAAGAATAGAACCATCCCATCTATTGTTAAAATAATAAACAGCTCCTAATTTATGTACTGTACAGCCCTGGAAATGTATTGAACGTATATTATTATGTCTAAATCACATGTAAGTTTGTATATTTTCAGCCACCGGCTGCAACTCTACTAATAAACCGTTTATTATTATTATTATTATTATTATTAAAAAGAGCGAGAGGTCGATCCCTCGACAACAACTGCCATGAATCAGTTCTCAAGGAAGCTAGAAATAAGAGAACAAAGTGGAGGAGAGAAACCATAAGAGGGAAGTTTAGAAAGGAAAGACTTGTGCCATACCCTGTAAAATGCTTTGGAGATGTAGAAGGTCACAACGAAAATTTCCTCGTAATCCCTAAGAGAGGATGACCAAAGATGGGTGCAGTAGGAGAGCAGATCACCAATAGATCTCGCCTGGCGAAAGCCATACTGGTGATCCGATGAAAGAAAAAGGCGTTCAAGGTGTCGGAGAAAATGAGAGTTTAATATAGTTTCGAAAATCCTAGAGAGGGATGAAGTTATGGCAATGGGGCGATAATTAGAGGGAATAGAATGGTCACCCTTCTTCGGGATGGGCTGAACAGAGACATGCTTCCAAGAAGAAGGGAATGTTTGGGTTTGAGGCAAAGGCGAAAGAGGCGAGCAGCAATTTAATGACTTAACATGTAACATCGAATCTTAATGATAATGTTTAACCAGAGAAACTCTTCTGTTCACCGGTATATGCGGAGGGGGGAAGAAAATGAAGTAAGAAGGGGAAGAATGATATATGGGATAAGGGAACTACTATAACTGTAAATGTGGCAAACGAGATTTGTATTTCACTTAGACTCCTATCCAGGAAATCTCTGAGTACGGAAAAGTGCTAACACTAAAAAAAAAAAAAAAATTATAAACAGGGTTCGCAAAGGATTTTTTGGGTGTCCGTAATGGGAAATCCGTTTAATTGTATATCATTACCAATAAACCTTTGCAGATAAAAAGGATATATTATCTTTCTCATAACTCTTATTGTACAAAAAGGTATATAAACCTCAATACACTAGAAACCCTTAGCTTGCAGAAGGCTATATATCATGTTGAAGAAAAGCCCTATTGAAATAACTCGGCAGTGATCTTCCTCACATAGTGTTTGTATGCCATTTACCTCTTTCACCCTCCAGTGACACACACCTAGGCCAAGACAGTCCTCACAGGTCTTTCACTTATATGGTGGATGGTGTAAAAGGCAGTACCATAAACACTATATTGTAGGTGGTATCACCATTCACGACTCACACCATAACGATCCAACTTCGCAATAGTTAGTTTCGGGGGGATCGGTGGTAGAAGCGGTACCGTTCTTGCCTCACAAGCGAGATGTCAAGGGTTCGATTCCCGGGCCGGTGGAAGTTGTTTGGACATACTTCCTAGCCCCCATTAGTCCCTGTTCACCTAGCAGTAAAGTAGGTACCTGTTGTAAGTCGAAAGTTGCGAATTGGTATTCAGGGAAAGTTGTTGGAGCTTCCAATAACTTGATGACATAAGCCACTAACTCTTCAGGCTTCTATGCCCTTGACTCTTCAGGCTTCTACGCCCTTAACTCATGAGACATAAAGGCAAGCATGAACTTAGCATGCTTCCCTGTTGGGCGCTGTAAACGCTTCTGCGCTTCACCTTACACAAGGATGTAGGGGAGTGCCCAATAAAAAAAAAAAAAAATTAGTCAGTTTCCACAAAGACGGGTCATGACTTTCTTTTCTAGCACGCCCGCACCCTTAGCCAACACGGTCACTATCTGACGAAGCTCATTGTCACTTAAAATATTTTTTTAAGTAAAAAAAAAAAAAAGCTCCAACAACAAGGAACTGCATACCCTCATCCGGGGAGGGCTCGCACCGCTGAGCGTGGTGCTAATGTCTGTGAAAAAGAAGTCATTGGCTCACTTGGTATATTAGAAACCGAGGGCGTTTTGAGTATTCTCTTATCCCATATATCATCCTTCCCCTTAGTTCATTTTCTCCCTTCCTCTTCATGTACAGTAGAGTTTCTTTGGTTAAACATTATCATTAAGATTGGATGTTACATGTTAAGGCATTAAATTGCCAACTCCGCACTTTTGTCACCTCCTTATCACACATAGTAATTATTATATTCTGCTAACTGTAAGGAGTGAGGGGCGAGAGAGTAAACTTTACCTCCATATGGTCAGCGTGGACGACAGAGAAACGGGTCTCGGAAGCGTACACCTGTTGTCCCACCGTTAGCAGCTGGTCGTCATCTCTCTTCAGCCACGCCACCTGCACATCGTTGGTAAGAAAAGTACCCAAATAATTAAGCTGATAAAATAAACATCAATATTATTTGTATGTGTAATATCAGACCCTGAAATTTATTATTTTGAAACACAAGTCCTCAACCTATTTTTATTTTTACCACAAAAATCTCTATCCAGGTACCGCATCTGGGAATCGCCAACAATTAAGGTTTTCGTACCTTCCTTGTCAGCCCTGTTCCTGACTATGGTAACGTCAAATTCGTCTATCAAGCGACTAAAAGAGTTTTTACACTTATATTTTGTCGTTTCCTTGGTATTTTTCTCACTACCAGTTTGGTCGTTCCTCTCCTCACAACCTCCAATACTGTGAACGCTACTGTGACTGCGTGAGGGCGGGCAGACGCCGGGGCAGCAGGGAGAGGCTGGAGAGACTGGCAATGTGGGTGTTGCCAACTTCAGCGAAATATAATTTTTTTTATTTACGTTTTTCCATTATTATACTACAATATGATTAGTGTTAAATATTGATGTTAGTAAATGCCGGTACAGTGCATCAGTGATTAGTGTGACCACTGGGCCGTGAGTGGAGAGCATGGAGTGGTTAAGAGCTGTTTGGTGGCCACAGGTACAATGATTCCTAAAGGAGTATTCGCGGTTTTGGCTTTTCGCTGGGGTTTCAGGAACGTAATTCCTGCGAAAAACACGGGATTACTGTATATATATTTTTCAATACTTAGATGATACCGTATTTAAGTCATATTTTTAGAAGAAATTACTTGCTTCAAGGCAAACTCAGCTGCATTCCTCTGGGATAATTCTCAGTGCCTGGGACGTAAGGATTAGATAGATTGCCCCGAGGGGGCTAGTTTATTGGGCACCCCCTTACATCCTGTGCAAGGTGAAGTGCAGAAGCGTTTACAGTGCCCATCGGGGAAGCATGCATAGTTCATGCTTGCCTTTATGACTTATGCATTAAGGACGTAAAAGCCTGAAGGGTCATGGATTTTGTCAGCAAGTTACATAAAGTAACAGAATGATGAGTGTGTGGGGGGATTCCCGGTACAATTTATCTGTTTATGGCAAAGTGTGGCAGGTCCCTAATAATGTTAAGTGCCTGGCCGGTCTCTCGGAGGAAGGATATCTGGTCAGGGAGGGAAGAGGTGTTGGAAACTGGTAGGGACCTGTAGGGGGAGGTCATAGGACAAGTGAGGATGTGGTGAGAGAGGGTGTGAGAGTTGGTTGGCCACAAAGTTTACAAACAGTGCGGCCAGGCTCAGGGTTGCCAATGAACTAGGCATGGCGAAGTACAGTGGGGGTGGAGGTGATATGGTGTGGTGGGACAGGTACAGTAGGGGTGGAGGGAGGCACATAGACATTGACAATATTGAGGGACATACCTTTTAGTGTGATTGTGATGGCGTTTGCGTCGGCATGGCGGTAGGGTACAGGTAGCCGGGGGTGGTGCCCTCAGGTCTAATAGGTAGCCCTGGTGGAGACAGCACAGACACAGGAGTGGGTGCGGCTTGCGGTGGGTGGACAGGTTGGGACACCACGGTTTCGTGAAGATGAGGCAGGACTTCGCTCCGCTACACCAGTAGTGAAGACCGCAGGAGGTGGAGTAGGCAGTGAGCAGGGGGGGCTCACAGGGGGACAACCAGCTTGTGTCAAACCAGAAGAGAGGAGTGACTGGGTGGCAACAGAGGGCAAGAGTAAGTCGGAGATGGTGGTACAGAGTGTAGCGAGGAGTTTTTCAATACGGTTGGTAAATTTTTGGAAGAGGGATATGTGGGGGACAACGGTGGGAACACAAGGCCTGACAGCGTCAGAGTAGAGATGGGGAGGACGCCCAGTAATAGTCGAGTTATGTGGATGATATGGACACAAAGTAGTACCTTAAGCTGTGTATTATTATATTACTCTTATATTACTCTTATTAATTATGTATAGTAAAGTATTACAGAACATGTATTAATTCTATGTAATATCTCCATTTATTATGCACCATGTTATGTATATAAATTATCATATTTATACTTTATGTATTCAGCTTGTGAATGCTGGCATCTGTACATGCAGCGCGCAGTAATACATAGAGAGAGTGAAGACTGCCAGTCCTTGTGGTGCGGAAGTGAGCTTCTTGGTCCCTTTGTATATATATCTCCCGTACGAGAATAAGAACCTACTTCTAAGATAACAAGTGTTTATATATACCTTCAGTAGTATAGAACATTTTGGAGGTATCAAGACGAACACAGATTATGAGACGGCCGGGACTGCTGTGTTGCAGTCAGGTGAGGCTTTAATAAGTATATTTATGTAGTGTAATTTGATCATATTATACAAATTGTCTCCTGATGTATCAACAGTTGTAACATGCTAGTTAACAGGCTATGTACTGTATATTGATTGTACTATTCATACTATGTGTCCTGAGATAACAGCATTTGTTATATGTGAATTGTTCTTTAACAGGTTTTGATCGAATTATATGGTACGAGTCAACGTTGAAAGTTTATTTCTCTAGCAACAAACCAATAACGCTCCTATGAGCGTTAACAGTCAAAACGGATACAGGAGGGCTGTCGAAGGGAATTCTCAACTCCGATGAGGACCAATGCCGGGAGTTCAGCATGGGAGAGCGTAGGTCGTCAATCAATCAGCCACCCACCCACAGTGAGGAAGAGGAAGGTCTGTAATCACAAGAAAGTCCTCAAGGCAATTCCACAGAAAGAGAGCCCCGTGGGAGTAAAGGAAGTCATTTGAAAGACGACGGGCTCCGCACTGAACGAGGGCTGGGAATCTTTTGGGACCTGGAAAAGGACAAACTAGAGGTCCGGGTCCAGATCCCTAAGACACTAGAGACGAAACGAAGCCTTTGAGTATAGTCAGCCCCATATATGACCCACTGGGACTCATCGCTCCGAGCGTCACAAGAGCCAAAATTATATATATTCCAAGATGAGTGTAGACAAGGCATTGGGTTGAATAACGAATCTCCTTCGTGTGTGGCAAGCCAAGCTAGCCCCTCTGAAGCAGCAGACCATACCTCGACTCGAGCTCTGCGTGTCAGTACTGGCTGCCAAGGCAGACAAACAACTGCGACGAGAACTTGAATTACAAATAGACAGATCAGTGTTCCGACCAGACAGTACAGCAGTCCTTCAATACATATGAAACACCGAAAGACGCTTCCATTCCTTCATGGCCAATCGAGTGACAACGATACAAGAGGACTCCAAGGTAGAACAATGGCGCCACGTGACGTCGGCACTGAACCCGGCCGACGACGCTAGTCGTGAATTACATAGAGCAGAGCTCAACGAGGAGGGCAGGTGGATTCGAGGACCTGCTTTCCTCTTGTTGGAAGAAGACAGTTGGCCAAAGAGTCCATTGAGGATTCCAGACCTCAGAGACAGAGGCCCAGATGTGAAGAAGGAAACCACGGTGCTGACGACGAACATTGACCAGGGGGAGGGCACTCTCGATAAGCTGTGGGCCAGGTACTCATCGAGGCATCGACTTCTGAAGAGCGTAGCGTGGATTAGAAGGTTTATAGAATGGCGGCTTGGGAAGCGAAAGAATAAACATCACCGAGAAAATCGGCTCCAGGTCAGCGAATTGGAAGAGGCGAAATTAGCCGTCTTAAGATTGATGCAAAGGAAAGGATTCCCTCGAGAACTAGGAATGTTACAACAGGGACAACCCGTGAGAGATAGCGACATAAGGCGGCTGAAACCTCATCTAGACACAGACGGTCTGATCAGAGTAGGTGGCCGACTGAAACACGCCGCTCTCCACCCAGACCAGGAGAATCCCATGCTATTGCTAAGGGACAACAGGATCACGGGGCTCATCGTGAGAGAGGTACACTCAACTAGAGCTGGACACTCAGGACGAGAACACACTCTTGCCATAATACGTGAGACGTACAGAATACCTAAGTGCCACAAATTACTCGACCGCACAATACGGATGTGTGTGACTTGCCGAAGAAGCAACTGGAGGCCTACCGACCAACGCCAAGCCGACCTGCCAGAAGATCGAGTGCGCCCAGGAGGCCAGCCTTTCACCTACACTGGAATTGATTGCTTAGGCCCTTTTTTGGTTAAACAAGGACGAGCCCGGGCGAAGAGTTGGGGATACTTATTCACCTGCATGACCACCAGAGCCATACACCTAGAAGTCCTCACTTCACTAGACACAGACTCGTTCCTCAATGCCCTGACAAGATTCACCTGCCGCACGGGACCTCCCAAGCATGCTCGGTCTGACAGGGGAACCAACATGATTGGAGCTAGCCGAGAGTTACGAGAGGATGTGAACGGCTGGAAAAACAGTGGCAGGCATTCCAAGAAACCCGAGAAAATCACTCATGACCCGTCAGGCAGGCGGGTGCTCCGCTGTTTTTTTTCATTACTCTCTCTAGGTTTCAGGAGTCATGAGTGTGTTTCTCCACCAACACCCGTAACATGCTTCACACGTAGGTTCAGAATGCACCCGTACTTTAAGGTACTAACAGCCTTTCACAAACTTTGAAGAGGAACTCCTACATCCCACGTGTGCAATCAACCATGAGGTACGTTGATCTCACACCTGGACTTGGCTATTCTCATCACAATTCACCACCATCACCCGTAACATGCTTCAAACATAGGTTCATAATACACCCATACTTTAAGGTGTTACAGCCTTTCACCAACTTTGAAGAGGAACTCCTACATCCCACGTGTGCAATCAACCATGAGGAGCGTTGATTACACACCTGGACTTGGTTATTTTAATCACATACACCCAATACTGGGGAGATAAATGTCTCTATGTACCCACTAGACTCCCGGTCTCAGTGTGTGACCTTTCATTCACTCAGTCTGCACTCAGTTTACTCCCAGTACTTCGTGGACAGTAAGAGAGTGACCATCAGCCAGCGGAGGTGAACCCTGCCCAGCTGAGATAGGGGTTCTACTTTCCAGTTAGTAAGATTTTTCACTGACTGACTGAAGAGATGTGGTGTTGTATGAACCAAAGTGGGGAGATTTGATGAACCAGACGACCACCGACCAAAGTGCGGATGCTGGTCCCAGTGGTTAGTCGTCAGGGACACCTGTTCGCCTCGTGAGTTGCCAGCTATATCTTCTAAACCACCACTAACCACCCACCGGCCACGTGGGTTTTCGTAACCTTGCAACACGGTTGAAACGCGCACCAGAAGGGACGAGGCTACGTGGTCGTTTTCATTGGCAGAACGCATAGTAGACGTCCGTCTCGGTCAAATGCCCGGCGCTGACTGAGACTGGTCAGCGTCACAGCCATCAGGGCGCTCGCCTGCCCCCATGACGTCACCTTTCGCGTATTACTAATAGTTTCTTTGGGACCCACGTAAGATATTTCGACTAGGAACTATCCACAATAACTTTAAATTTTATAATTGCCCCTTAACTTTATGAATCGTGTCTACATTAATTCGATAAAGTACATTTAAATTTATATAGGCCTAGTTCAAAATGCTTCCACCCTCCTGACTGAGGGCGTTGCTTGGAGGCCTTTGCTTTAACTCGCCACGAGGCGTGGGTGTTTCAGCCTGGCCTACTTATGTTTTCCTGTTTGGCAGATCGGTCATTTTTGTTCTGACTTTTCTAAATATCACATTAAAATTTCTTATTATATATATATATATATATATATATATATATATATATATATATATATATATATATATATATATATTATATATAATAAAAAGGAGATATATGTGATAAAGAGATATTGAACCATAAAAATATAAAAATAGATGATAGTATCTTATGTGATACCACTGTCAACACTGTCAACACCCAGTTCAACAAAAAACTGAAGTCCCTATTGAGAGGCAAAGCTACTCTCATTAAACATCTTACTTCAACGTCCCCTCCACTGCCATACATGTACGGTGTAATCAAGACCCACAAGCCCAATAACCCAGCAAGACCCATCATTAGCTCAGTTGGGTCAATCTCTTATAAACTATCTAAATGGTTAGTTTCTTTACTAAATCCCCTAGTTGGCAACATTTCTAACTCCAATATCAAGAATAATATGGATCTGGTTGATAAACTCAATAACTTACACATTAATCATGATTTTAAACTGGTCAGCTTTGATGTAACGTCACTCTTTACAAAGGTCCCAGTTGATGATTTACTAGAGTTCCTCATAGATTCCCTGGATAACATTTCACTGCCCGTCTCGAAAGACGACTTCATCGAACTCATCAAACTATGTATTAAGGATTGCAAATTCGAATTCAATGGGGAATATTATGCTCAAAAATTTGGTATGGCAATGGGTAATCCACTCTCACCTGTATTAAGCAACCTATATATGGAATTCTTTGAAAAGAAACTATTAAGTAATATTTTACCACCCTCAGCAGTCTGGTTTAGATATGTTGATGATGTATTATGTCTCTGGCCATGTAATGAGGACCTAAAAGCTTTCCTACCACAACTTAACAACTTAGCCCCCTCGATCAAATTCACTGTGGAATTAGAGCAAGACTGTAAATTGCCATTCCTAGACTGTCTGATACACAGAATAGGTAACACTTTTAAGTTCAGTATTTATAGAAAACCAACTAATGTGTGTTCATACCTTCATTATTATTCTGCCCACCATAATAAAGTCAAACAGTCAGTATTTTCAACAATGTTTTTACGTGCCTTGAGAATTTGCAGTCCGGAATTCATCGATGAGGAATACAAATATATATATAATATTGGCTCAAACCTTAAATACCCTAGATCTTTCATAGACAAATGCTTAAACATTACTAAGAAAACTTTTTATAGAACTGACCCCAAGCCCACCCATGACCATAAGAATATCTTAATATTACCATTTCACAAAAATTTCTCACACATTCCTGCACAGCTAAAAACCTGGAACGTCAATGTGGCATTTAAAAACTCATGCACTGTTAAACAAATGTTAATCAAGAACTCCCCAACAACACAATTGGTTGCATTTATAAAGTTCCTTGCAAGGAATGTAATATGTTTTACTTAGGCCAGACAGGTAAAGATCTTGCAACTAGAATTAAACAACACAAATACAGTGTTAGGACAGGCCAGGAATCCAATGCTCTGTTTGTTCATTTGAGGGATAACAAGCATTGCATTGACTGGGATAATGCCTCCTCAATATTACCATGTAAGTCAATTGACAGTAGGAACATCATAGAATCTAGTCTTATTAAACATACCGAAGCATTCAACATGAATTTGAGTAACGGCATGTACAAGCTGGACAATTTTGTAATTAAGAAGATTTGTGATCAGGTGAGAAGGCCGGGTCACTTGACCATCTGACCTGACCACCAACCGTTGTGTGCTATTTAAAGATTAGTAGGGTCATTACCTAATACCTGACCATTGTGGACCTGGTCTCACCCTCCTCTGTATATATACACCTTGATTTGTATTACTCTCTCTAGTCTGTACTCACCCCTGAAGATGTGAATTACACGAAAGCGCTTGGGAACTTCGTGTTTTCTTCTTTCCTTGTGGTTATCAGCATATACCTAGATCACGCGCACCTACAGTGATTTACTTGCATATATATATATATATATATATATATATATATATATATATATATATATATATATATATATATATATAGCAAGCCTATAGCGGTAATAGTCCCAGTAGGTCGAGGGTTCGATTCCTTGCTGGTGAGGTCGTTGATTATATGTTCAAAGTCCGCGTGTTATATGGACTAAAAATGAAGTATATATATATATATATATATATATATATATATATATATATATATATATATATATATATATATATATATATATATATATATATAACACTAGGCTTGCCAAATTACCAATTGTTCAATATTTAACAAAGCCTTTGAGAAGTTGACAGAAGCTGGAATGCCTGTGGTGCAAACGTAATATTTTTAGATATAAGAACATAAGAAAATAAGGAGTCTGCAATAGGCCGGTTGGCCTGTGCATAGCAGCTCCTGTCGAGAGTTACTACCACTCTCTATCATCCATGAATCAATCTAGCCTCCTTTTGAAACTTTCCAGCGTTCCAGCACTTACTACAAAGTTGCTAAGCTTGTTCCACTCGTCCACCACCCTATTTGCGAACCAGTTCCTTCCTATCTCCCTCCTAAACCTAAACTTATCAAACTTAAATCCGTTGCTCCGAGTCCTATCCTGCTCGGATATTTTAAGAACTTTATCTATATCCCCTTTATTGATTCCTTTCACCCACTTAAATACTTCTATCATATCTCCCCACACTGTTCGTCTTTCTAAGGAATGCAAGTTTAGTTTCTTTAACCTATCCTGATATGGAAGGTTTCTAAGTCCCCGGAATCATTTTCGTTATTCTTCGTTGCACCGACTCCAGTGAATTTATATCCATTCTATAATAAGGGCACCAGAACTGAACCGCATAATCGAGGTGCGGCCTGACTAGTGCAAGATATAGTTGCAATAAGACCTCTGCACTCTTATTACTTACACTTCTAGATATAAAACCCAATACTCTGTTTGCCTTATTTCGAACATTAACGCACTGTTTTCTAGGCCGTAGGTCCGGGTTTACAAGTACCCCTGGGTCTCTTTCACAAGTCGACTTCTCTAGGTTGATGTTGTTAAGGCTGTATACATTGACAGTATTTGTTCTTCCAAAATTAAGTACGCTGCACTTGCTGGTGTTGAATTTCATTTGCCATTTTTCAGACCACCCGTGCAGTTTATTTAGATCCTCCTGTAATGCATTTGCTCCTGCCCTGAATTAATCTGCCGCCCTATTTTGGTGTCATCCGCAAACTTGCTTATGTCGTTGCTGATCCCAGTATCTAGATCGTTTATGTAGATTATGAACATTAAGCCTAACCGAACGTAACCTAACCTGTCATAACGTACGCTAACCTATCCCATACTAGTCTATCTTAATCTACCCTAACTTTACCTACCCTAACAAAACCTATCCCAACGTAGCCTAATGTTACTTAACCTAACTAATTATTGTTTGTTTTCTCGTTTATAAAGGTTGTTTTTCTCTTAGAATTATGTGTATAATCATTTTTATTTATAATGTGAAGAACTGTCAATTATTTTCAACATTATCTAGCATTCCAACATTTGCCAAAAGGCAGGCATCTATTGTCAACATTGTGTAAAGTTTGTCTTAATATCGGCATTAGGTAAATCAAAATTTTAATGTAGTCATTAAGCAGTTTCTCGATTGCTAACATCAGACAATTTTCCATTTTCTTGTGACATATAATTATATTTTATGTATGTTTTTAAATAATCAGAGACAAGAGAAAAGTCGTTATAAAAAAGAACTGACCATTTCGTCGGAGAGGTGATAAGTGTAGCAGCTAAAGGAAGCCTCCCCGCCAACTTGTGCCTCCACTTCCGTGTTGTTCTGCCCCAGGAATTCTGGAGCGAGAGTGTTAAGTGAGAGAACCTTCACCCACATATCTTCTGCCGCTTCATACATGTCCCTTCGTGGAGGAGGTGAAGGGTCACTGTGTTGCACCTCTTGCTGCCCCGCCGCCAACGACACACCTGGGTCAACCAAACAATATACGTGTTAATGTTTGGCCACGTAAGCATGCAGTTTATATTGTGTTGCCATTAAGATAATGCACTTATATGTATGCTAGTATTAGGTAAATTAATGTATTCATATCTGATACGTCACTGAACCTTCAGTTCCCTCTTGTATATTTGATTTGTTTTTTGTATTTGACAGTTTTGACCGAAATAAACTGTATCGAGTTGACGTGGCAGGTTATTCTTCTTACTGGGCGATTAAATTGGTGTTTGTAATGAATGTTTGTGGCTATGATGGATGTTGGTGACTGTGTTAGATGTTGGTGGTTGTGTTAAATGTTGGTAGTTGTGATGGTTGCTGGAGGTTGTGATGGATATTGGTGGTTGTGTTAGATGTTGGTAGTTGTGGTGGATGCCAGTGGTTGTGTTAGATATTGGTGGCTGTAATGAATGTTGGTGGTTTTGATGGATGTTGCTGCTTGTGAGTGGTGTTGGTAGTTGTGGTGGATGTTGGTGTGTAACAGCACCTTTGCTTTATATAAATTTTTACCCGAATGAATAACACCAACTTATTCACCTAATTATTCAACAAGTGAGTCAACATGTTGTTGGAGACAGACAGCTGGGCTTGCAACAATCACAAGCGTCGAGCGCAAGTCGGCTGATTAATCAAAACAGCTGGCTCTCTCCCGTGCCTCTCTTGGACAGAGAGAGAGAGAGGCCGGTATATTCTTACCACTTGAACAGGGAAGTTAGACACATAACTTATTATTATTATTACGTTGTTATTATCGTTATACTTTTTTTTTATTATTTTCGTTTTAATTTTGTATTTTTGATATAAATTTTATTTACTATAAATTATTATTATTATTATTTTTATTATTATTACATTTTCGCCCCCAGGCCCCGATGTAGGTCAGTGACCTGTGCTCGGATGGGCTAATCCCAGTAAGAAAAAAAAATCCTTATACCAGTTTGCCTGCATTCTTGAAATTGCGACTTTTGTATTAAGAACATAAGAATGGAGGAAACTGCAACCGGATTATTGGCACATACTGAGCAGTCTCGTTTACTGTACATCCAACCCTTATAGCACATATATCCATCCAACCTTATTTGAAGCTATCCAGAGAATTCCAGTTCATGATTATGTTTGGTAACTTCGTCCACTCATCCACTACTATATTTCCAAACCAATGTTTATCTATCTCGCGTCTAAATCTAAATTTCTCTAATTTAAAACCACTGCTACGAGTTCGCTCCTCGTTGGATAGTTTAAGTCCCAATGTAATATATCACCTTTGTTTAGCCTTGCCTTCCATTTGTACACCATATCGCCCCTCACTCTACGTCTCTCGAGGGTGTGCAAATTAAGATGCCTTAACCTGTCTCTGTACTCCAGGTTCCTAATGCCCAGGATTAGTCTTGTCCTCCTATGAATTCTTTCTAGGGATTCCATATCCATTCTGTAGTATGGTGACCAGAACTGAACTGCGTAAACCAAGTGAGGTCTCACATGAGCAAGATATTAGTTTTAGGATGACCTCGCTAGTCTTGTAACTAACACTTCTTCGTATGAACCCAAGCACTTTTTGATCCTTGTTTCGAGCAAATGCACATTGTTGATTTAGTTTAAGATTCCTACTCATCATTATTCCTAAATCTTTCTCACTCGGATTTCTCTACACATCGCTGTTCATCTGATATATGGCTTTTCTGTTTACATCTCTTTCACTAAGTACTTTACATTTGTCCACATTAAATTCAATTTGCCATTTTTCGTACCATTCAAAGAATTTTTTAAGATTTTCTTGTAGTTTTGCGGAGTCTTCGTCAGATTTAATTACTCGCCTTATTTTAGTTTCATTAGAAAATTTACTTATGTTGCTGTCTACGCCTATTTCTATGTCGTTTATGTATATAATAAAAAATAATGGTCCAAGTACTGAGTCTTGGGGTACTCCACTAGTGACGTTATCCCAATCGGATTTAGTACCGTTATGCTTACTCACTGTTTCCTGTCCTGTAACCACGCACTAATCCATTTTAGAATATCTCCCCCAACGCCTTGAGCCTACTACTTTTCGTATTAGTCTTTCATAGGGGACTCTCAAACGCTTTGCTAAAGTCGAAGTTTACCACATCATAATCGTGACCGTCGTCCACTAATTAGAAAACAGCTGAAAAGAATGTTATTAGATTAGTCGGACATGAACACCCGCTTGTGGAGCCATGTTGGGAATCATGGATCAACTTTTGCTCCTCCAGGTGATTTCGAATAGAGTTTGAAATTATTGCTTCCAACAATTTGCCTACAACTGATGCTGATTGAACGGTAGTTAAGGGATATTGTTCTATCTCCCGTCTTGATAATTTTTATCACATTCGGTATCCTCCAGGATTCTGGTACTACACCCGTTTTTAATGACATGTTAGACAAATTTGCTACGGGCATACTAAGCTCTTCCTTACATTCCTTTAATACTCTGGCAAATATTTCATCGGGACCTGGTGACTTATTAGGCTTTAGTTTGTCTATTTGCGTATTAACATCGTTACTAATCACTACTATCTCGCTTAATCTATGTTCTTCACTATCTCTGTATATAGTCGGTGCCTCGGGTATCATGCTTACATTTTCGGTGGTGAAAACTGTTGAAAAATATCTGTTCAAATAATTGCTAATATCTCCGTCGTTATCAGTTAGCTCGTCGGTATCTGACTGTATTGGTCCAATCTTTTTCTCATGTGTTAGTTTGATCAGGGATCCTGCTTACAGTCAAGCTAAGACTGATGATTAGGCCCAGTCTAATACAATTCTATTTTATGGACGTAAGATCCCACTTACGGTACCCCATTCTGCACTTGCCAGTACAGATGGACTTGTGGCGCCAGTTCATCGAAAGGTTCCGAGAATACTTGCACGAAACCTAAACAGCAACTGTTAAGCAAACACTGCAGCACTACTGTAACGGTCATACTATTGTTACCAGTTCCAGTAAGGTGGTAACATCCCAAGCACCACCCAACTCCTACAGCAAATTCAAGACCATGAAAAGACTTAACTCCGTCCCATTCAGCAGTTGCTCAGACCAAGTCTACCACTGTACCGACATGTGATATGTCGTGTATATTACATACTTCTGCTTCATAATAAGACGCAGAGTCGTGTAATTATAATTCCCAGGACCTTGGAATTCTACAACGGTGCAAGAATTCGAGGTATGACAGACAGCCACGACAGCCATGTGACCGCTATTATTAGCAGTCGGGGGAAGACCACCCTCTTGTTCAGCAAGACGCGGGATAAGTACAGCTGTAACAACGCAAAGCAACACTTCTAGTGCAGCTTCGTTAATCGCGGCGTTGAACAAAACAGAAGTGTTACCTGTGAGAGTGGGTACCATCGCACTTCCTTTATATATAGATGAAGGTGCGTGCTCAAGTGTCCTACCAAGAACTACAGCGACATTCACCTCACCGAGGATTTCAAGTTCGACCTACTGATACTGATCTCTCGGGATTATCCGGTGCCTTGCTGGATATTAAGGGAATGGTATCACTACCTCTACGATTTTCTAGACGTGGTAGACCATTTCTGGCAATGATCACATAGTTAAGGTCTTTAACTTACCAGCTGACGGATTAAATGGTCTTCCAATGATTAAACACAACATGCTAGATCTCCAGCCAAGTCAACACACCATCACTGTTAGTGGCGTTACCTATCATGCCACGCACAATTTTGTTCCATTGCTCCCCGCCAGGGTGAATGCTATATTCAACGCTCTTACTACAAGAAAGATGGATTTCAATTATCAGCGTGTCCTAGACTCACTGATTTTAGCAGCAAAAAATTGATAGCAATACCTCCATTTTAACAGGTACTCTCTATTTTTAGAATGAGGAAAATGCCAGGGCCACTGTTCGCTGACCTGGCGAATTCATTGGGGCTGACGTAGTCTGTCTTAAGGAAACTTTCAGGGTTAAAGGTCTTTCATGTGAATCTACATTGAGTTCGATTCGTCCTGGTGGTTTAACAGATGTCCTCGTTCTCCACAGACCAGGCGCTCCCGGAATATTGTGACAGGATGTTGCTTGTGTGATCATCTGGTTTACATACTAGTGTTTTTTGTTTACAACCTACACAGTTCCCAATTGGTAGTGGTACTACACAAACATGAACCAAACTGGAGAGGATGGATCAATAGTACCCCGTTAGGTTAATTGATCAACCTCAAGGCAAGACTAAGCTCCTCGAGTTGCTTTTCACTAGGTCAAACGAGTTTCACATCACATCATATACCTTTAAAAACTGGACACAAACTCTATTTACATGCCTGCTTACAGACCATCTCATAGCCAGTGTTCTGTAATACTAGACATGGTTCAAGATCTGCTAGAACAATAATATATATATATATATATATATATATATATATATATATATATATATATATATATATATATATATATTATATATATATATATATATATTATATATATATATAAGCACTTACCAGTAAGAAGAAGCCGTGATATCATGTAACAGAGGATAGGCTTGGAGAACATGCTGACTGCCTTGTATACAGTAGTCTTTCCTGCTAGATTTTATAATGCTGCTATAGTTGGTCGCCTGAAGGTGACACTGGTGACCGACTGAGAAATTCAGCAGTATCGATTTATTTATTTCTTCTAATACTATTAGTGGTGAAATTGATAACTGAAGTTATCTCAATGTGTTAACAAGAACTTTCTTTTCTACTTTGCTTCATAATTGACAGAGAAAAATAATAGATTGATTACTTATATACATATTTGTGATGTTTTCTTGTTTGTTTACTGTTCACAAACAGGGGTTGTGTTGTTGTTCATAACTAAAACGCTGTCTCAAAACACTCGCCAAATTCTGACTTTCCAGTTCCTTTTATTTATTCATAAAATATAAATATATATATATTTTTTGTAATTACGTAGACAAAAGTTTAATGGTGAGCGTATGCGTATAAGAAAGGAACATTTCTTTACTTCATAGAGTACAGTATGTCTTTTCCATAGATTTAATTGTTAAACTGTTCACAGTATCAGTATGAAACCCTAATATGTGATTTTATGCCCCGTTAGTAGATGCAGTGCTTAATATCATGACTTATCTGGAAACACTTACACCGTCATTATTTACTCATAATTGGAAAACACTTTACCGGGTGTGAAATAAAAGATGAAATATTCACTCTGGCAGATGAACTGTAATATATATGTATATATTTTTCATTTCCATGATTTCAAGCAAGCCTTTGTTCGAATATCAACACTCTTAAATACACCAATTAAACTGAATCTCTGTTATCTTCTGGATGTAAAGTATATTATCCAAGTTAAGAAACACAACTTATAGCCTCGTTCTCTACAGAATTAGGATCCATTGTAAGCTAAACAGGCCAAGAGAAGAGGAGCAGCAAGAGACGCACCACACCATCCGTGAGCTGCCAAGCTACTGACAACCAACAGCGCAGCTACCTCTCGCCGCCTCTGTCTGCCACACAAGCACGCAGGCGCTATTAAATTCATCTCTGCGACACCTTACCTAGTGACAAGGTTATTCACTGTGACGTGTTACTTAGTGTGACATTACTTACTGTGACACGTTACTTAGTGTGATACGTTACCTGGTGTGACACGTTAATTAGTGTAATATGCCATTTAATGTGAAACGTTACCTAGTGTGGCTTGTTGTTTAGTGTGACATTTTGCCTAGTATTGGACGTTACCTAGTGTGACACGTTAAATGAGTGTGCCATGTTGTCTAGTGTAGCATTTTGCCCAGTGAGGCCCGTTACCTAGTGTGGCTGGCTACCTAATGTGGCACGTTACCTAGTGTGTCACGTAACCTAGGATGGCTTATGACTTATTGTGACTCATTACTTGGTGTAGGACGTTACCCAGTGCGGCATATTATCTAGCGTGATATTTTGCCTAGTGTGACACGTTGCATAGTGTGATATTTTACGTAGTGTGGCACGTTACCAAATGTAGCACGTTACATAGTGTGGCAAGTTGCCTACTGTGGCACGTTAACTATAGAGTGTGGCATGTTATCTAGTGTAATATTTTGCCGAGTGTGGCATGTTACATAGTGTGCCAGGGTACCTAATGTGGCATGTACTCTAGAGTGATATCTAACAGTGTGGCACTTTACCTAGTGTGGCTTATGACTTAGTGTAACACGCTATCTAGTGTGGTACGTTACCTAGTGTGACATATTCTAGTTTGACATATTACCTGGTGTGGCACATTATTTAGTGTTACCTAATGTCAAATTACCTAGTATGGCACGTTACCTAGTGTGTTACGTCGCCTAGTGTGGCATGTTGTCTAGTGTGATAATACTGTATGCCCAGTGTGTCATGTTGCCTTGTGTGTCATGTTACCTAGTGTGGCAGGTTACATAGTGTGGCACATTACCTAGCGTGGCACATTACCTAGCGTGGCATGCTTACTAAGTATGGCATGTTACCTAGTTTAGCACGTAACCTAGTGTGGCACATTACCTCTTGGGGCGCAATACCTAGTGTGGCACATTACCTAGCGTGGCACATTACCTAGGGTAGAACGTTTACTAAGTATGGCATGTTACCTACTTTAGCAAGTTGCCTAGCGTGGCAAGTAACCTAGTGTGGCACATTACCTCTTGGGGCGCAATACCTAGTGTGGCACATTACCTAGCGTGGCACATTACCTAGGGTAGCACGTTTACTAAGTATGGCATGTTACCTACTTTAGCAAGTTACCTAGCGTGGCAAGTAACCTAGTGTGGCACATTACCTCTTGGGGCGCAATACCTAGTGTGGCACGTTACTTAGTGCGGCTCGTTATCTACTGTAGTGTAGCTTGTTGTCTAGTGTAACATTTTGCCAAGTGTGACACATTATCTAGTGTGGCAAGCTATCTAGAATGGCACGTTTACTTAGTGTGGCAGGCTATCTAGAATGGCACGTTTACCTAGTGTGGCACGCAAACTAGTGTGATAATTTGCCTAGTGTGGCATGTTACTTGGTGCGGCACGTTAAGTAGGCAGCTACCAAACAGGGAGGTACTACCGCCTGGGAAGATATTGGAAGCATAATGTGTTGTCTAATGATAGACCCTGCTGCCGTATGTGACCAAGTCCCAGGTTGATGATCTGACTTTCTGCCTCATTTACACACAATTGCAGGGTCTCAATTGTTTCTCTTACTATTGACAACACAAAATACATATATTTTTTATTATTATTATTATTATTGGGCACTCCCCTACATCCTTGTGTAAGGCGAAGCGCAGAAGCGTTTACAGCGCCCAACAGGGAAGCATGCTAAGTTCATGCTTGCCTTTATGTCTCATGAGTTAAGGGCGTAGAAGCCTGAAGAGTCAAGGGCGTAGAAGCCTGAAGAGTCAGTAGTTTATGTCAAGTTAGTGGAAGCTCCAACAACTTGTCCCTGAATACGAATTCGCAACTTTCGACTTACACCAGGTACCTACTTTACTGCTAGGTGAACAGGGACTAATGGGGGCTAGGAAGTAAGTCCAAACAACTTCCACCGGCCCGGGAATCGAACCCGTGACATCTCGCTTGCGAAGGCAAGAGCGGTACCACTCTACCACCAGCACCCCCCATACATATATGGTTTCTCGCTCGATTTCTTTTTTCATTTTTGTATTTCTGTATGGTTCTTTATTATTATTATTATTATTATTATTATTATTATATTTTCGCCCCCCAGGCCCCGATGTGGGTCAGTAACTGTGCCCTGGTGGGCTAATACCCGTATTTAAAAAAAAAATTATATATATATATATATATATATATATATATATATATATATATATATATATATATATATATATATATATATATATAGAGAGAGAGAGAGAGAGAGAGAGAGAGAGTCTTTATCTATACTGTGGCATATTACAGAGTGTGGTACATTACCAAGTGTGGCATATATCTGAGTGAGGCACGTTGTCTAGTGTGAAATTTTGCCTGGAGTGGATCGTTGCTTAGTGTGGTATGTTACCTAGTGTGGTATGTTGTCTAGTGTGGTATGTTACCCTGTGTGGATTGTAACATGTTACCTACAGCGGCATATTACCTAGTGTGTCACTAGTGTGATATTTTGTCTAGTGTGGCTTGTCACCAAGTGTGGCACTTTATCTAGTGTGGCACGTTACCTAGTGTGGCATGTTACGTGGTGTGGCGTGTCACCTAGTGTGGCACTTTACCTAGTGTGTTACTTTATCTAGAGTGACACTCTACCTATTGTGGCAGGTTTCGTAGTGTAGCACGTTTCCTATTGTGGAATGTAGTTTTTTTTCTTCACAAATTGCCTAGTGTGGCAGGTTGTCTAGTATAATCTGGCACACTGCCTAGTTTGGCACGTTACCTGTGTAGTACTTTTTTCATTTTTTTTTTACGGGGATTAGTCCACCCGGGCACAGGTCACTGACCCACATCGGGGTCCTGGGGGGGAGGAATGTAATAAAAATAATAGTTAATGCATAGTAAATAAAATTTATAATAAAAGAGTAAAATAAAATATTAATGGTAATAATATTAATAATAACAACACTGTGATGATAATAATAATAAATACAAGAATGAAAAAAATCAATAGTGAAAAACGCTATATGTATGTTGTGTTGTCATGTAAGAGAAACAATTGAGACCCTATAATTGTGAGTAAATGAGGCAGAAAGACAGATCAGCTACCTGGGACTTGGTCACAACTTTCGTGATGCCATACGGCAGCAGGGTCTACCATTAGACAACACATTATGCTTCCAATATCTTCCCAGGCGGTAGTACCTCCCTGTTTGGTAGCTACCTACTAACTAGTGTGCCATGTTAATTAGGGTGCCACGTTACTTAGTGGCATATGACCTATTGTGGCACATTACCTAGTGTGAACAGTTGCCAATTGTGGCACGTTACCTAATATGAACCGTTACCTAGTTTGTCATGTTACGTAGTGGGGCTTGTTACCGAGTTTGCAGAGTTGAAAAATAAGTAAGTAAATGCTGAGGATTTACCATTGATTGCGATATCTCCTTGTATCTCTAGGGACTCGTTCAGTAAAGTTTCTGTGTACACTGCATCTAAGGGATGAAGGCAGCAACTATGTATTAGCTCACTGTTCCAACAAAGGCGAGGCTCTAAGATGCAGCTTCACTCACTCTGTAAAGCATTGACTTGGAGACTTGTCACTGTTACAGTAAGTACCTTCATCGCTCGAAGAATCTCTACTATGTCGGCTTAAACTAATGGGTAATATTATAAGTGTAAAAAACAGACACTAAATACAAGAGACAGTAAACACTAGACGGAACAAGCATTAGAGAGTAACCAAATGAGATTAGACGTAAGAGACAGTAAACACAAGAGACAGTAAACACTAGACGGAACAAGCATTAGAGAGTAACCAAATGAGATTAGACGTAAGAGACAGTAAACACAAGAGACAGTAAACACTAGACGGAACAAGCATTAGAGAGTAACCAAATGAGATTAGACGTAGACAGTAAGAGACAGTAAACACAAGAGACAGTAAACACAAGAGACAGTAAACACTAGACGGAACAAGCATTAGAGAGTAACCAAATGAGATTAGACGTAAGAGACAGTAAACACAAGAGACAGTAAACACTAGACGGAACAAGCATTAGAGAGTAACCAAATGAGATTAGACGTAAGAGACAGTAAACACAAGAGACAGTAAACACTAGACGGAACAAGCATTAGAGAGTAACCAAATGAGATTAGACGTAAGAGACAGTAAACACAAGAGACAGTAAACACTAGACGGAACAACATTAGAGAGTAACCAAATGAGATTAGACGTAAGAGACAGTAAACACAAGAGACAGTAAACACTAGACGGAAGTAGAGAGTAACTAAATGAGATTAGACGTAAGGAAAACAAGAGACAGTAAACACAAGAGACAAAACACAGGAAACAGTAAACACAAGAGACAGTAAACACTAGACGGAACAAGCATTAGAGAGTAACCAAATGAGATTAGACGTAAGAGACAGTAAACACAAGAGACAGTAAACACTAGACGGAACAAGCATTAGAGAGTAACCAAATGAGATTAGACGTAAGAGACAGTAAACACAAGAGACAGTAAACACTAGACGGAACAAGCATTAGAGAGTAACCAAATGAGATTAGACGTAAGAGACAGTAAACACAAGAGACAGTAAACACAAGAGACAGTAAACACAGGAAACAGTAAACACAAGAGACAGTAAACACTAGACGGAACAAGCATTAGAGAGTAACCAAATGAGATTAGACGTAAGAGACAGTAAACACAAGAGACAGTAAACACTAGACGGAACAAGCATTAGAGAGTAACCAAATGAGATTAGACGTAAGAGACAGTAAACACAAGAGACAGTAAACACTAGACGGAACAAGCATTAGAGAGTAACCAAATGAGATTA